GCTCATGCCTTAACATGAATTCAGAAACAATTAATAGGAAGCCAACACCATTTGTTGAAGACATTAACCTTTCTCTACTATGTTATCTTGGCACTCTTACAAAAAAATCTGTTGATCATATATGTGTGCATTTATTTGGTCATTGGAAAAGTCATGATGCATTTTTGCATAGGAAAACAGAAAAAAAATCATGACTTTTCCAATGATCCAATATTTTGGGCTCTCTATTCTGTTCCATTGATTTATGTCTGTCTTTAAGCCTGTACCTACTGGTTTTTCTTTTTCTTTGTTTTGTTTGTTTGTTTGTTTGTTTGTTTGTTGAGAGGTTTTTGCTATAGGGCACGTGCGCTCACCAGAAAGATAGAGAGAGACAAAGAGATAGAAAGCAAGAATTCACCACCTCCCCCCAGGGGGGATGGCCATGCTGCAATACCTTCTCTTCCATTCTCCTCTCAGGATCTTGGGCACGTACACACGCCCAGTGTGAGTTTAAGCCACTGGGTCCAGGACTCGAACCTCGGTCGACTACGTGGGAGTCCAGCGACATAGCCATTATACCAACTGCTGGTCCCCGCCTCCTACTGTTTTAATTACTGTAGCTTTGTAATATATTTTTAAGTCAGGAAATGTGATGCCTACAGTTTTGTACTTCTTTCTCGAGATTAACTTTGCTATTTATGTTTTTTATAGCTTCACAGTAATTTTAGAATTATTTTTCTATTTCTTTAGAAAATGCCATTGGGATTTAACAGAGATTGAATGGATCTGCACATTACTTTGGGTGGGATGGATATATTAATAATATTAAGTTTTCCAATACATGAACATGTGGTGTCCTTCATTTGTTCATGTATTTTAAAATTTATTTTTAAAATTTTATTTATTTCTATCGTTACTATTATTATTATTTAAAAAATTTTCCTAGAGAGAGAGAAAGAGGAAGAGGAAAAGAAAGGGAAAAAGCAAGCTGCAAGGTTGAGGTCTCGAACCATGGTCAGCCAAGTGGAAGTTCAATGCCTTTAACCACCACAACACCTGCTGGTCCCATTTTCTTTAATCATTTTGTAGTTTCCAGAATACAAATCTTTCACCACATTTGTAAGTTTATCCCTAAGTATTTTAATCTTTCTGGTGCTATTGTAAATGGGATTGTTTTCCTAATTTTCTTTCAGATTGTATGGAAATGCAGTTGACTCTTGTTAATGCCAGAGAGTACATGAGCTTGAGAGAGAAAGAAAGAGAGAGAAAGCTCTTCCCAGTGACATGTGGTCATGTCACAGTATTTCTTTCTCCATTTCTCCATAAACCTAGTGTCTTTCAAGCCACTGGGGCTGGGACCCAAACCGTGGTCAGCCATATGGGACCCAGCTTTCTATGCACAGGACTATGGGCCAAACCAAAGCAATCAATCTTATTATTATTTTTTATTTTTTTTGGAGAGATTTTCACTATAGGGCCTGTGCGCTCGCCAGACAGAGAGAGAGATAGAGACAGAAAGTGAGAAATCACCCCCCGGGGGGATGGTCACCCACAATCCCTTCTCCTCCATTCTCCTCTCAGGATCTTAGGCACGCACGCACATGTGCCTGGCATGAGTTTTAAGCCACCAGGTCTGGGACACGAACCGGGGTCGACTACGTGGGAGTCCAGTGACGTAGCCATTACACTGACTGCTGGTTCCCTCAAATCTTTTTTGAAAAAAGGGTTTTTTTGTTTTTTGTTTTTGTTTTTGTTTTTTGCTACAGGGGGTGTTCGTACATCAGAGAGACAGAGAGAGAGCTATGGAGAGAGAGAAAGTGAGAACTCCCTACTTACCCCCAGGTGGAATGGCTACGCCAAAATCCCTTCTCCTCTTGGGATTTTGAATATGCACACACATGTGCCTGGCATGAGTTTCAAACTGCTGGGTCTGGGACTCAAACAGCAGTTGGTCATGTGGGAGTCTAGCATCTTAACCACTATATCACCTGATGGCCCTGCAATCAATTTGTGCATGTTACTTTTACATCCTACAACCTTACTGAATTAATTTATTAGTTCCACTGCTATATATTCTTTTTATTTCTCTGAAATAATTATTTCCAGTGATCTATCTTCAGGTCTGTGGATCCTTTCTTCTGCTTACTCTGGACTGCTGTTGTATCTATCTAGTGAGTTTTACAGTTCAGTTATTGTGTTCTTAAGCTCTAAGACTTATATTTAGTACTTCTCGATATCTTTCTCTTTGTTGAAATTTTCACTTTGTTCATACGTTGTTCTTTTGACTTCAGTGAGCTTCTTTAGTTATTTCAAATTCTTTGTCAGATCAATCATAACTTCATTTCATTAGGGCTGGATTTGGAAATTTATTTTGTTCCTTTGTTTGGGGGGCATCTTTGCTTGTTTCTTCATTTTCCTTGACTCTCAGTGCTGGTGTCTGTATTAGATGAAGCAGGCATCTCTCTCAGTCTTTACAGACTGGTCTTAAATATACTATACCCATCAGTAGATTTGGCCAGAGTTCTTTGGGACCTCTACAAACTTTTCCCCTTCCTCAGGGAAAAGCAGGCAGCTGTGTGTGAGTGTTACCCACTTTCCCTATACTGAGCCAGTGGGGCAGGGAGCTGTGGCATTTATCACTGCCAGCTGTCATTTTCATCTTTCTTTTGGCAGCTGGACTATGCCAGACATGTCAGAACTTTATGACTGGTAAGACAGATACTACTGGGTCATCAGAAAGTCTCAATGTATTTTTGCATAGAAAAATACATCATGACTTTCCTAATGACCTAACAGTTGTTTGGTGAGTTTCTTCAGAAAAGTTGAGTTGCATGAACAAACATCTTCCTCTCTTGGGTGAATTCAGAACCCTGGGAAGCTCTTCTGATAGCATGTCATTATATGGGGATGGGGGAAGTCTCTGGCAAAAGAATGTCCTAAATCTTCCTACAAGTTTCACTGAGACTGGTTCATATTTTATCATGGTGCAGGAGCCTTGTAATTAGTTTCTGATATCTTACAAAAGTAATTTTTCCATGAATTTTTGCTGAATCAGTATGCTTGTGAGGGTAAGGAGGGCCTAAAGCTTCCAACTCATCTATCTTGTTGATGTCAACTCCCCAGCACTGTCCTTTTTTTCCCATTACATTTTTCCATCTTAAAATTGGAAAGAAGATATTTTAGGAACATAAAGATAAAAAGAACATGTAAGGAGAATGGAGCAAAAAGCCGGAGGCTACAAGTCTGATAGGATCCTGGAGCCACCATATTAGTCCTGTTTGGTTAAGTTATTATCATTGGATTTCTTTTTTTTTTTTCTTTTGAGAGAGAGGGTGTGTGTGCTTGCCAGAGAGAGACAGAGAGACAAAAAGGCAAGAAATCACCACCTAGGGGAATGACTATGCTACAATCCCTTCTCCTCCATTCTCCTCCTGGGATCTGGGGCATGCATGCACACATGCCCAGCATGAGTCCAGGACTCAAATGGTGGTGGACTACGTGGGAGTGCAACAGCATAACCATTATGCCTTCTGCTGGTTCCTTCATTGTTTTTCTGTTTTATGTAGGAAAACATAATTCTTAAATAATAAAAGTATCTAACCTCTATTTTGGGACACAGTATCTTGTAAGGTATTCAAAGAAGGGACAATCTAAAATAAAAGATGATAAACAATGGAATGAAAAGGTGAGGAAGAGATGTTCCAGGCTAAGGAGCAAGCATGGATCAAAGCATCGAAACATGATAAAGCATAGCATATATAGAGCATGAAGACTGAGAGGTGGAAGGAGTCAGGGTTTAGAGGACATATTTATAAACCATACTAAGAATTTTGGATTCTGTTCAGAAAGCCTTTGACATATTTTATGGGGTTTTAAGCAGGGTAGTGATGTAATTGGATTTTCATATTAGAATGAATAAATAGCACAGCATGGTACAGAACATAGAAACATGAAAGGTGTAATACTAGAGGCAGTGGTTCATTTAGATTTTTACTCTGGGGTACCAGATTTATATATGCAACTGCTTACGTGGTTTATCTTCTTTAAAGTTTATAGGTACTACAGATTTAAGATATCCGAAGCAGAACTCTTAATTTATCAATATACTTTTTTTAAAGAGGTTTTTGCCTTAAGGTACATGTGCTCTTCAGGAAGTGAGAGAGAGTAAGAGAGAGAGAGACAGACAGACAGAATTAGCAGGGATGGCCACACCACAATCCCTTCTCCATTCTCCTCCTGGGATAACGGACATGATGCACACATGCCCATTGTGATTTTCACGCCACTGGATCCAGGACTTGAACCGTGGCTGGTCATGTGGGAGTCCAGCAACAAAACCACTATGCCATCTGCTGGCCCCATCAATACACTTCATGATAAAAACTGTGCCCTCCTCAGTCTTCATTCTTGAGTAATGGCATCATCATTTTCTGTGTTGCTCAACAAAAGCCTAAATGTCATACTTGAGTTCCCCTCTCCCCTTATCTTGAGACCTCATGCAATAGGCTTTCCCAACAAAATATATCTGGAATACATGTAAAGCTCGAGATGTCTATGAGGCATACAAGTGAAAAAGTAAAATAGAAAGATGGATAATCAAATATAAAATTAAGAAGAGAGTTATGGATGGAGACATGAATTTAGAAGTCTTTCTTATCTTTCTTTTTCCTTTTTTTTGGAGAGTTTTGTTTGTTTGTTTGTTTTTTTCTATAGGGCGCATGCACTTGCCAGACAGACAGAGAGAGACAGAGAGACAGAAAGCAAGAAATCAGGTGGATGGCCACGCCACAATCCCTTCTTCTCCATTCTCCTCTTGGGATCTTGGGCATGCATGCACACACGCCCGGCATGAGTTTTAAGCCACCGGGTCCAGGACGCAAACCATGGTTGAGTACATGAGAGTCCAGCGACATAGCCATTACACTAACTGCTGGTCCCAAGAAGTCTTTCTTATCTTTCTATGCTCCCACTTAATTGAGTGGTACTACCACCCACATAGTTGCTCAACTATAAACTCGGGCTTCTTTTTTTCTTTTATTTTCCCCATCAAATCCTAATTATAACATTGTAGATTTCTGCCCAGTTGTATTCAAATATTGGCACAGAGTAGAATTAAAATACTGTGGAAAAAAAAAACAGAATTAATTTGTATTTAATTTATTGGATAACTTCAATAAATTAATTTCATTCATTATTTAATACTTGGTAATAAATACATGCTTTCCTCAGTAATTCCCAAATTATTTATTTTTTTCTGAAAGCATTGTATTCTACAATCTTCTCAATTTGTGAAACCAGAAAACCGAAAGTCATTCTTGATCTTTCTTTTTACCTCAAGCCTGATATCAAGGTAACATTAAAACCTGCAAATTCTTCCCCCCAAAATAGCTCCAATCATAGTCTAGGCCGCATTTAGTTTTTGCATGAACTTTTACACTAATTCCTGTCTCTCTGCTTTCTCTTTTACTCTCCATCAGTCCTCCACAGACCAGCCAGAGTGACCATGTTAAAAATCAAAATTGGTCAAGTGCATATCACTTGACCAAATTGAGTGGCTTCTGTTGTATTATAAATAAAATCTAAAACTCTGTCCAAGCCCTACAACCTCCCACAGGATCTAGCCTCTATTTACTTATTCAATTTAATTTCCAGTTATGCCTGTTTTATTCACCACAGTATACATTTCATTCCTACCAAAACTTGATTCTCAGGAGATACTCAATAACTATTGAAAAATTAGAGCATAAATAGAGATAATTAGTTATGTCTTAGGCATGCTTGGGATGAAATGCCTAAATGAAGATTAGAATAATTAGAAATTATAAATATATGATTATGTTGGTTAGGAGAAAGAAAAGAAAATTATCTATTTTATGTATTAACTAGATTGAGAACATGAAATTCATTTTCTCATCCCTTTTCCAGGATGAAGATACACAGTAAAAAAAAAATAAATAAATAAAATAAATAAACAAGGCTGAATGCAGAATACTGGGGAAATTAAACAAATAGTAGAGAAAGATAAACTTGCAAAAGAGACAGGGGTCAGTGGAAGAAAACAAAGGGGTTATATGACACAAAAACTAAAGAGGGGGCGAATTTCTGCCCCCATGAAAGAAAACTAAAAGACAACTGGTGATGGCTGCCAAAGTGAAAAGGCTTTGTGGATTTAGTGTTAAGGAAGTTTTCTGAGCCACAGGTAAGACCCATAGGCAAAGGACATTAGTAGGCAGAGAAGCTTTGATGGAGTTACCACCTGGATTGGTTCCCTGGCAGCTTCCCATGCGGGAATATATAGTCTAATGTTGATGGTGATTCAGAAGCTAAATCTTGGTTCAGTGGGAAATGTGATTATCTTTTAAAAATAACTTTTATCATTATAAAAGTAGTATATGCCTGGTACAAAGAAAGAAACTATATATAAGGGACCAGCAGATGTGTAATGGTTATGTTGCTGGACTTCCACACAGTCGATTGTGGTTCAAGGTCTGGATCTGGTGGCTTAAAACTCACACTAGGCACATGTGTGTGCATGCCCAAGAGCCTGAGAGGAGAATGCAGGAGAAGGGATTGTAGTTTGCTCATCCCCACTCGGGGGTGGTGGTGGTGGTAGTGGTGGTGGTGGTGGTGGTGGTGGTGGGTGCTGGTGGTGGTGGTGGTGGTGGTGGTGGTGGTTTTTTGCTTTCTGTCTCTCTGTCTCTCCAGTGAGTACACATACCCTATAGCAAAAATCTCTCTAAAAACAAACAAACAAAAAAACATACATGCAAAATAGGAAAATAAGCCATACTCCTCCATCCAGAGATTGCTTCAACTGGCTTATTGTATATTTTTATTTATCTCTATAAATATATTTAATATATATATATTAATTTTTTAAAGGTTTTTGCATATGGTGTGTACATTTGCCAGAGGGAAACAGAGGGAAAGTGAGAAATCACCTCCCAGGGGGAATGGGAATGGCCATGCAACAATCTCTTCTCCTCCACTCTCCTCTTGGGATTTTGGGCAGGCATGCACATGTGCCTGGTGTGATCTTCAAGCTGCTTGGTCTGGAACTCAAACAGTAGTCAGCCACATGGGAGTCCAGAGCCTTAACCACCATGCTACCTGCTGGCCACATACATGCATTTCTTTTTCAAAAATGATATAATTCTTGTACAGTTTGAAATCTATTTTTACTGCAATTAATAATCTCTATCTAAGGCTTTGTTTTTTTTTTTAAATTTGCTTACTCCGAAGAGATAGAGACAGAGAGAAAGACAGATAGATAGAAACAGTCACCTCTAACAGGGTCCTCAGTCCATGATCCACTCCCACCCTCAGCCAGCCTGGAACACAGGCATGAATGCATGTGCGTACACAGGCAGACCTTTAGAAACAAACCCAGAACTTCCTGTGTAGGTTTAGCATCACAGTGTTGTGCCACTGCTGAACAACCACTATAGGCTATCCATAAATTTTCATCTTATGTAAAACCAAATTCACATTTTCCACGTAGTCTCCAAGATATCTTTACTGTGAAAGTTAGTAATGAAAAGAATTAGCTTATTTGTCCTTTCCAGGGGAACTATATTTCAGGATAACCTAATAGTTTCAAGTAATAAAGGAAAATTGTAGTTTACTGAAGAAAAAAAAAACTCCCAAAAAAATGAAGGAATGATGGTTTAGAAAAAATTTGTGATTCCTACTGAAATTATAGATGCAAATAAGGGTTCTTAATAGGTTTTGAAGTGTGAGGTTTACGTTTAAAGGAGAACTAGAGATCTGTATGGTATCATAGTAATGCCATACAAATTACTTCTTAGATAAGACTGCCATATCATTAATTCAGTAGTCAGTCTAAACATCCAAACATCAGTAATTGTGCATCAATCAAATAACATAAAAGATAATATATAAAACATATCACCTACAAATATTTTAGCCCTAAATGCTTGAGTCCATCAAGTGTCTACATCTATCTTATATATTTCAAATAAAGATGTAAAGAAAGATTTCAAAAAGCTATTTATTTTATATCTATCAAATCATAGGTAAGATGTCCTGCTAAGTGACACTGTGAAGGCAGAAAAACAAGAATAAAAGAAATGTATGTATGACCGTGTTATACTTAGAGATGAGTTTTGTTTTACTGTGCTTGGTAGAATTAAGATTTGGCAGGAGGGAACTGGCTAGAGTATTAACTCCAAGTATTGTATGGAGAGGTCTGTTTGGAAGTCCATGTGAATGCAATGTCCTTGGTTGCTGAGGAAGTGGCTTTCATTTTCATATCACATGTAAAATCCTGATCTTACATATTAGGGGCTGCATAGATTACTAAATAAATCTGCTTACATAGTCTGAAGTTATGCCTGTCTATGTATCTTCTATAATCCTCAGAATCAAGCTAGTTATTATAAAAGCTTTGTCTTTAAATTTGGTAGAATATATGGTCTGTGTGCAATTTTCTCCCAACTGAGTACAATGAAAACACAGTAATATTGTGTAGAATAAAATATTCCCCAAAGATGATAATCATAATAGTTCATATTTCTTAAGTTTTTAAATTCTTATAGTATAAAGTCTTATTTTAATGAGAGAGTGAAAGAGGGGTCATTTTGACAGAGTCTTGCCATTATGATCCTCTTGCCTAGTCTCCCAGTAATCTAGGATTACAGATATATGCTACTGTGCCTGCCCATTTGACTTGGTGTAGAACCCACACCTGGGCTTCCCATGTACCTCACCCAGCAGTACCCTATTGCTTGTGCCACAGCAGTTGGGCTGTAGCTTTTGCTTGTTTGTTTGAACTCCACTTTACAGATGATCAAAAGGGCTGTGGTGAGGTCACACAGCTAGTAAACGACCGGTCTACAATTAGAACTGAGATTTGACTTTATTGTTGGAGCTCAGTTGCTCTATACTGCACTACTTCAGTGAATCAAATTTCTATTAATAAACTTCATAGTACTGGTCAAAGTGATTTTGAGATTTTTCTCTGGACTTAATAGTACTATTTACTCATAACAGTTTCTGGTTCATCACTGCTAACCAAAGAAAACATCTGTGCATGAAATGAAAGTACTTAGTTCTGGCAAATATTTGTACTGAAGAAATAAAACATTAACAGAATACTTTGGATTTTTTTTCAAATAACAGTAATTGCAATTCATAGCAAAGTCTAAACTTTCACTTGACATTTTTTTGCTACTTCTTAAGAATTTGACAGTTGTGCACTTGGAATCTGTTCAAATTCTATTTGTAGAAGGATCATGTGAATGCCAAGGAGATCAGTACATCTGCTTCTTAGCATCTCTAGAGTAATCTGTATTTTCAGAATGCTTTATATAAATTGGGACATGGTAGCATGCTCAATAAGATTTATTTACCACAGGTCATATGATGTTAGAGCTTTTAAAGTGGTTAAACAGATATATGGAGCAAGTAAGAGGTGGGCAGCATTGGTTGCTTTTGATTTGAATACTTTTACTAAAAAAAAAAAACCCTATATATGATAGGGAGGAAATGAATACTATATTTAGTTAAGGATAGAATATAACAAATAGTAGTTGTAGAGTACATTCATGTGGAACCAACTTATAGGTAGAATAAAGAAAGTGACACTCAGAAGGGTTTTACTTCTTTCCTAAAGCAGAAGCCCAGTTAAATTTTAAAGCATGTTTCTAAGAAATGAGAAATTTAACAAAAAAATCTTTAATCACATATCATGATTATACTTAAGACAAAGAGCAATAATTCCTTAATATTAGGTAATGTCCAGTCAGTATTAAAATATCCCTATCTCATTAATGTCTTTTGTATAAGTAGTTCAAATTAGAATCTTAAAATGGTCCATGTATTACATTTGGTTGACATGTCTGCTGGGTTTATCTTAATCTATTACAGTCCTCCCCCACTTTCATCTTTGTTAAATACAGGTTATCTTCCTCTATAAATTTCCTCTCTCAGCTTAGATAATTGTATTCCCATGGTGTGTAATACTTTAGCAGTTTAAGGAAAAGAGTGGGCATTAGGATACAAGACTACTTGCTCATTGCAAAGAAAGTGAGAGGGAAGTAAGCAACAATGTAGGATCACCAAAAGTGGGGTTATGACTATTTCTGGAAAGGACTGACATGTAAAGATGAAGTCTTGGGTGAGTAGGTGGTATGGTAGCTAAGGGCACTAGACTCCCATAAGGCTGACTTCAGCTCAAGTCCCAGACCTGGTGGCTTGCTTTCTCACTTTTTTTCTCTCTCTCTGTCCCTTTCTACTCAAATTAAAATAAATAAATAAATAAAGTTAAATAAAATAATTCTTTTTTTTTTTTGAGAGTATTTTTGCTATAGGGCACATGTACTCACCAGAAAGACAGACAGAGACTGACAGAAAGCAAGAAATCACCCCCCCCAGGGGGGATGGCCACGCCACAATCCCTTCTCCTCCATTCTCCTCTTGGGATCCTGGGCATGCACACACACACACCCGGCGTGACTTTAAGCTACCGGGTCTGGGACTCGAACAATTGTTGACTATATGGGAGTCCAGTGACATAGCTGTTTCGCTAACTGCTGGTCCCCAAATAAAATAATGCTTAAAAAATAAAAAATAAAGATGAAGTCTTAATTAGAGGCCTGTTACTCCCAGTCTGTTTCCAGAAGAATGTTATAGGGATTAGGTGTTAAACAAAACAACTGAGAGAATAGGATTGGAGTCTTGTCTCAGCTGTGCATGTCAGAATAACAGATAAAAGGCTCCCATAGGAACAGACTGAATACAACTAGGGGAAAATATTAGCAGGTTCTAGAACAGAGAAATAAACTTGACAAGAATGCAGTGGATGGACAGACTTAATTAAAATATATAGAGAGTAGGTACCATCTTTCTCCACCTTGTCACCTTTGGGTACTTAAGAGAAACACTGAACACCTAGGAGATCTAGCGCAAGGCATCTAGATAGGACCTTTCACTGGGAGGGATGGGCAAATGACTGCTATCTGATAACGATGTAAATATGTGTGGATCCTCCACTCTCAACAAGTGATGGCAGAAACGAGTTTTTTCTTTTTTGCTATAGGGTGCGTACACTCACCCGAAAGACAGAGAGAGACAGAGAGACAGAAAGTGAGAAAGCACCCCCCAGGGGGGATGGCCACGCTGCAATCCCTTCTCCTCCATCCTCCTCTCGGGATCTTGAGCACACACACACGCCCGGCGTGAGTTTAAGCCACCGGGTCCGGGACGTGAACCGTGGTCTACTACATGGGAGTCCAGCAACATAGCCATTACGCTAACTGCTGGTCCCAGAAATGAGTTTTGAAACACCGTTAATTTTTAGGGCAAAGTCTCTTGCTAGCTTTGCATTCATTTCTGTAAACAGGAGGAACAGTGTACAGATACTTGATAATTTTTTTGTGTGTGAACAGGATGCGGCTCAAACCCAGGAAAAATTCGCAACTTTGTAAATTAAAAGAATTAATGTACAAATCTGGTTTATACAAATTGAATTACTTGTGACCTCTCAGGAAGTACATAGACTTGCATAAATGCAGGTTAGACAAAGCTAATTGGAATAATCTAGTAACTAACTAATAATCTCGTAGCCAACTGGAATACCAGTCATATAAAAGCATTTCTTTGTGTTATAGTTACTTGTGACTTTGGAATTGTAAGGGATTATGTGATCTATGCTTCTATGTTCAAATAATGATATAGTCTTTTTTATAAACTCTCCTAAAGTTGAAATGGAAAACACATTTAAAACTGGGAATGTGTAGTCTAGCTAGCAATCAAAAAGAAACAGGTCTTCTTCATTTTTAGAATTTGAGCTTAGGATGTCCTCAGAGTTGAATTAAACCTCAGGAGTCAATCCTTATATCCTGAGCATAAATTTCTAGCTATTTCTGGAGATGGTGTTAAAAGTCATAGCATGCACCTAATTTTGAATAGGCAATGTGGGTAGAAAGAGTAGGCAGACCTTTTCAATAAGACTTAATTGTCCTTAACTAGTGAATACATAATTACATAATTTGTTATGATGAACCTTCACTTTTAGACTTGTATGGTGGGAATCATTAATTCTCCATAGTTATGTGAAAATAGTATATAATTCTGCTTTTTATTAGTCTAAATCATGATCTCCAAAATACATGCTAATTTTTTAGTCTGATTATATAATGAATCATCTTCACTGGTACATTATGCAAATTTGAAATAAGAATATTATGAAGAAAAACACTTAAAATGCTATACCAGTATAATTATATTTAAGAAGAAAGCACCAATAAAATATTAATATAGTTTTTCTCACATGGATGAGAACAGAAGAAAAAAATAAGTGTTTTGTGTTTTTGTTTTTAAAGGCATATATTGGATGACGATAATAGTATAAATATATAAAACATTAGTCAGATCAGGTCTGTTTAACAGTAGATACAAAATGAGGATTTGGTTGGATTTATTTTTGATGTTATGTACAAGTGATTATTCTCACTACATTTTGTACAGTCAGTAGTTTTTAGATTTATGCAAATAGTCACTACTTCCTAAGTTTTTCTTTGTTCTCAATCCTCAGAACTTTCTTTTTTTTTTTTTTTAAGTTTATTTCTTTCTTCCATCAGTAAGGTGGACATGCAGAGCGAACCAGGGCTGGGGCTCAAGGATGACTCTAGTCATGAACCAGGAACCTTCCCATGTGGGTTGCTTTGCAAAGCAGATTTTACTGCTGTGCTTCATCTGTCCAATCCTCCACTCTACAAATCATTCTTAAATGATCAACTTGAGGGAGACATTTTTGGCATTACTTAGGCAGTATAAATTCAAGTTACATTTTTGTGTGAGGGTTGGATTGATCATATATTCAAATATGACATTGTTTTCCCCTGTCCACTAGTGGCCGAGGTTAAGACTTAATTTTCTTTGTAAACTCCAGGAGAGAGTTATGCATACTAGTAAGGAGTAAATTTATTTCTAGTATATACTTGTACATGAAGTAAACAATCCTTTTAACTGTACCTTTCTCTGTGTGATTGATTGTGTGTGTGTGTGTGTGTGTGTGTGTGTGTGTAATACAAGTTGTGGGTTTTGTCTCTTATAAGGCCATGAAAATAAAAATTCACATTAATGGGTTTAGAAAATGCCCTTGGAGTAAAGGCTGGCTATATGCTCTGCTCAAAAAGTTTCTACTTTCATTCAGTTTCCTGACAATAATTTCTTATCTTATTGTCCATTAATCAGTATATTTAATAAGATTTAAAAGAGCATGTTTTTCAAGATTCTTGTTTTCAGTGTGACCTGTGATTGAGGGACCTCATCCATGATAGTTCCAGAAACAGAAGCCTATATTCTTTATACTTTGCTAATTGACCAAATTTTCCTCAAGGGATAAGTCTTTAAGATAAATAATATAGGAGCCCGCAGGTGGCATGGTGGTGAAGTTGCTGGACTCCCACATGGTCAACCAAGGTTCAAGTCCCAAACCTGGTTGCTTACTTTCTCACTTTCCTCTCTCTCTGTGTCTCTGGTCAAATTAAAATAATAAATAAATAAAATTATATAAATAATTCTTTACTAAAAAAAGATAAACCATATTCAAGGGAAATATTTAAATTAAATATGGAGATATTTTGCACGCAAATTAATATATTTTATAAGTATACTACTTGTAAATATAAATTTTAGGCAGATGTTTACCAAATATCTGTTTGACTAGTTTGCAGATGGCTCTTAATTTATTAAATATTTATATATTATTGTTCTATAGTACATTTTGCCTTTGAACCAGTAATTTGTTGGCTTAGATTCACCCAAGATGATTTGTGAAATGCTGCTATATAACAAGTAATCTCAAAATCTCTGTGATTTACAACCAATAGTTTTGTTTTTATCCCTTTTTGTATCAGTAGTTGTAGGTCTGCTGCTACACTGTTGCTCCCAGGTAAGGGTCAGTTTCAGGTTCCATTCTGGGATTTTTATCTGAAACATATCTTTTTTATGGCACAAAGCACAAGACTAAGACATTGATCTGAATGTTGTACTCAAATTGAAAGCTTCTTTGATTTTGCATGTCATCACATTTGCTCACTAAGCAAGTCACGTGACCAACAAGACTAGTGCCATCTACCACAGTCTTTAAAGCTGCGATGAATACCTTATTTATAATTGCTCACAATCTCAATTTTTTTTCCCTAGAAAATGAAGATTCATTGAGAATCCTGATTAACAATCTTTGGCAAATCTGTCTAAATGGATAGACTAAAGGGAAAAAGAAAACAACGTAAGCCATATCTCTTTCATTTTAGGTCAGGGTTGCAATATATTCTTTTTTTATTTTTTATTTTTATTTTTTTAAACAAATTATTTACATGTTTAAATGTTTTTACCTCAATCTTTTTTTAATTTAATTTTCTTCCATACATTCAATCACATTATTATTTATCTTACAAAATGGGGTTGCAATTTATTCTATAGGAAAGATTATCATGCCTGCCGAGTACTTAATTTGGAAAAAAATTATTCTTAGAAATGTACAAATAATTAAATAGTAGGCAAAAGAGATGGAGTCTCACTAGAGTTAAAATTGGATAGTTATAATAAAAATTTATTTTAAATGTTATATTTAAAATCATTTTAAGAGTCGCAAACTTGCAGGGTATCTCTTAACATAGAAAATGGGAGTTACTAGATATTTTTCAATTTTAATGCAGGATCATATATTATAGTTTCTGTTTTTGTTGTCATGTTGAAAATGCTAGGAATTTATTTATTTATCCTGTAGTCATAAAATATTAGATTTGAAAGGATCTTAAGAGTTTTCAATGGCAGTGTATTGATATATTGTGGTATGTCAATGATATTAGTTATTTGTGACAAGTAACTATGGTTAGCAATAATTAACATATAGAAGATGATAGAAATATATTGTACTTACATTTGTTTTTCAAAAATATCTTCTGACTTACATTCTGAATTTTTTTAGGTGTAGTTGTGAGGAGTTACAGTTTGACTATCAAGAATTTGCGTAATTCAGATATGACACTGCTGTTTGTTTCAAATGTGAATGTCATCCACTGGAAAAAAAATAGGTTTGAGTATCATTTCTTAAAGAGTACGTAGTCTAACTCTCTACTTTTGTCAGAATTTAAAACACAGAGTAGTAACTTATCTAGTCACAGCTAAGTCTACAATGTAGGCCCCCTTGCTTCTAGGACCTTGCTTCCACTCCAACAAATAACCAAATTTTCAAAATCAATGTAAGATATTGGGGCCGAGAAATATGATTAGGTAAGATAATATGCCTTTTTCTAAGTCTTTAGTCTGTTTCCAAAGGAAGGGAAAAACACCAGGGAAACTGTCCTGATGGTATGCATTGCATGTTGTCCTTGCTCTAGAAACATCCTTTCCCAAATCTATTTGATTGCAACTTATACTAAGAAATGCAGTTTAAATCACAAGAGGCTCACAAAGCAATTTTTTTTTTCTCAGAGGTTTTCACTATAGGGCGCGTGCGCTCGCCAGACAGAGAGAGACAGAGAAACAGAAAGCGAGAAATCATCCCCCAGGGGGGATGGCCACGCCGCAATCCCTTCTCCTCCATTCTCCTCTCAGGATCTTGGGAATGCACGCACACGGGCCTGGCGTGAGTTTTAAGCCACCGGGTCCAGGACGCAAACCGCGGTCGACTACATGGGAGTCCAGCGACATAGCCATTACGCTAACTGCTGGTCCCCACAAAGCATTTCTTGACCTTACTAAATAGTATGAACTCCGGCCTTTAGCATTCTATTTTACTCTAGTATTTCATTAAAATGTAAAATTGACTTTTGAGTTTTACTTTGAGAAAACACCACTCTAGGCCAGCTGAGGTGGCACAGCAGTAATGCCCTGTGATGTAGAGGCTATATGGGATGGCTCAGGTCCCTGACCCCAAGGTCTTTT